ACAGATACAAGGTATCTAGTCTGGATACCCTTTTCTGCAATAAATAAGGTGGTAAATACATTATTGCAAAGCCTTTATTGATACTGTTATTTAGAAATATCTATATTGAACTCTTGCAAAAGTTTTTGAGGTTTTTTTGTTTGTTTTTAATAAAGTGATAACTTTGAAAATAAGAGAATTTTATATCTCATTAATAAGTCCAAACTGTTACTTTGGAAAACTAAGAAATTTCTTGGAGGAGGGCCCTTAATTAATCCTGAGGATGGATTAACATAGCACTAACCTTTTAAATAAAAAGTAGAGAGTTTGTTTTATCTTATATTACTCCACATTATATTGAAATGAATCAATATTCTACATAGAGTGAAGTGAACCAGCTATGGTAGTGGAAGACACAGGACACTCATGAGAACATGAGTCGCTTTCACGTGTTTCAGTGTTGGTCTTACGTATGCAAAAACCATATGATTTTCTCCATTTCCTGTGTGTGAAGGAACACAGGAGGAAAACCTCTTTGTTCTACTGACACAGAGGCAAAAAAGAAGTTGCTTTGTCTTTAGTTGTTAGGGGTTTTTTTTATAGGTTGAAGACTTACGTGATATCTCTTTAGGTATCTCTTAAGAAACCTACAGAAGTTGGATGTTCCAGTTTGTCTGTTTGGCAGTGGTAAAATACTGCTTTCTTGGCATTGTCACTATAATGTCTTCTTTTATCGATAATGGTGTTTAAGATAAACGATAAATTCTTGTCCTAAAATTATAAATAAGCATGAAGCAAAATTTCAGACGTCTTGACAATGAGAGATGACTTATTTCAACATCACTTTAAAAGAAGTACCTAGCCAGTGCCTTGAATGATCCTGCTGTGGATTATGAATGCATAATGTAAAGATTATTCAGCCATAATAGCAAGAAGCCACATATCTATGTGGGTGCTTTTAAGTGGGAACATGATCTATTAAACATGGTATTTCTAGAGCATGTTGCTGTGTAATGTTAATTCTGTGCAAATAATCTTTGTTCAGTTCTTAAATGGTCTATATTAAAAACATAATTAACTGGTAATGCATCTTGCCAGATTGGTCAAACCATTGTGCAACAAATTATCATCAAGATGGAGCATGGACATACTTCACACAGATAATACATTGTTCGCCGTGGATTTCCTACATCTTTGGAGTAGCCAGTTTTCATACTATATGGGCTTCGTTGTGGCTAACTGTTCAGCTTTATCAGGTATTATTTTGCTTCATTTTATGCTTCGCTCTTACAGTCATCATATTAAAACTTTTCCCTAGATTATATGCCTCCGTAAAAACTTTGTGCCTCTTTTCCTTGACTAATTAATGTCACTTCTAGGTGCTTTTCTTAAATCTCAAGGCAGTCCTTTAAGTTTCATGGGTATTTGTGCACTCAGCATTCCCATGTTAAAAGTAAGATCACAGTCTGCAAATCATTCCTGTAACTGAGTTCTGGGTTTACTACTCATAAAAAAATTCAAACCTATGAAAAGATGTATTTAAAGGCAAGAATCTTATTTGACTAATAGAACTGGTATTACTACTCCAAAAATGACACACAACCTCAGTAGCACAATTAGTCCTGAATTGAAAAATCTATGGCAGAGCTCAGCAGTGCATCATTAGACTGTATTAAATCCCATTACTACAATAAAAATATATGGCCTGGGTTTTATCCTGATGAGGACTGTCAAATTTCTTGTTTATGTTTTCTTGGAGAGAGCTTGGCAATGCAAACAAGATTGAGAAGAGCTGTCTTAAAACATCTAGGAAACAGCTTGCTTAGCAGCTTTTAGGAAAGATGCGTCATTTGGATATGTTAAGCATACTGAGCTAAAAACTTGTTTTACATCATCTTTAAAAAAAAAAAAAGGAAAAGACACAATTTTAAATGTGTAATGCTAGATTTTGGTAATGTCCAAATTTTAATTCTGGGGAAAAAAAAGAATTATAGGTACAATAATAACAGTTAACTACTTTGTTTCATACACAGTCATTTGTAAATGTACCACTTTATGATCTTTAGCGTGTCATTCAGCAAAGTGACCTTGCAGTCATCTCTAAGGGCTTTTAAGATTTATGTTGATTTAAAAAAATAAGGAAATGGAAAAAGGAATAGGTAAGGAAAAATGCAGAAAAAAACTCATAAATCTCATTGTGAAACTCGGTGAACAGGGCACAGAATCAAGAAAATTATAAAGTTACTGTGGAGTCTCTGACATCTACTTCATCTTTTTGATAGGCTACTTTGTCTTTTTTGGGGAATCTTTCTACCAATTTTTGTGGTAGCATATAGAAAAAATCTGAGGAGATGGGTGCTTAAGTGCTGTAGATCTTGTACTTCTGCAGACATCTGTAAAAGTACAGTCTTTACAGTCATCTCATTAAGCTTGCTTTCTCAGTGGAAGCGTTAATTTTACAGCTTGCTGGGTTCTGTTTTAGTCCAAGTGACATTTAAGAACATACTTTTCAGTCATTAATTACGGCAGTAGTTATTTGTTAGATATGCCATCCTCCTTCCCTTCCCTCCCTTCTCAATAATATCTTTTGGCATCACCAGACTTTTTAACTTGTGATGTTCATGTTTTAACAACTACCTACATTTTCCTTTCTTTAGATTGCGTTCTTGGGATTGACCTCGCACGAAAGAATGAACCTCCTGATACAGAGAAAGTCTTCTAAGCATCCTGTTTCACTCAGGAGAACTCCATACAAGTGAGTATTAATGAACAGTGTGTTTTAAGCACCTATCTTTTCAGTACTGATTTGCTTCACTACTTAATACATTTTTAAAAAAATGGTCTATGGATGTCCCAGTCATGCTTGTTATGAGATGTGCTAAGAGTAAGAGAGAGACCTCATCTTCCTTGTTCATTACTTCCTTTGCCCTAGGAAATAAACAGGCAGCATAAAAGCTACTGGAGTTCTTTCTACGTGGCTGTGTATATAGGAAAGAGGTGTGCCAAAGTCAGTCCATAGCTCTCAGCAGTAGATGCTATTTTGGGGGTGAGGGGATGTTGTCCTTTAATTTGTTCATCAGTCTCTGCATCTGTTCTGTGGATTCAGAAAGAGATTTAAGGTATGAACTGGCACCTTTCTCTTGCAGTATTTAGCTCAACAGAGAAATTAGTACCAAGGTTTCCTTGTTACACTACAAGTCCATGTTTCCTCCTGTGTGTTGGCAGATGAGATTTTTCAAAGTACTAACTCTTAAATATTTGAGTTGACCTTAATCTACTCTCACTCTTAAATGTAATGCAGGCTGTAGAAGTTCAACAAAGTCATAAAGCTCAATAGAGAACTGTTCTTATGTTTCTTCTCCCAGAGCTATCTTCGTTGACAGCTTTCTGTCTTAATACTGTCTCATGGTGAATGTGTATTTTTGATGCCTGCAGTCTTCTTTTGTTAGGTTTATTAATGGCTATTTCTCTTCTTTTCAGTCTTGGATGCTTCCAGAATCTTGCAGATTTTTTTCAGTGCAGTTGCTTTGGTATGTTCAAACCCAATGTAGTTGACTGGACCAAGCAATACAACCTTTTTCATCTGACAAAGGAGAAAAATGTTCATTCTGTGTGAAGTTTTGCCTAATTTCTAAAACCTTTGAGCTGAAAGCTAAATAAAAGTTGATATTTTGTTAATTTTTACAGATTCTTTTTGAAGTTTTTTGATTTTGTTTTTATTACTGTTTCAAATATTAAACCTATCCTGCATAAGCTACAGCAGGTTTGTATGTGGAAGAATTACTGTATATTTGTGCATATATAATTTGAGCTGAAACTATTTGAGATTTTATGTTACAAGATGACACTAAGAATGTATTTTTTTAAAGGTAAGTTTTTAGGGCAGAATTTCAAAACTTTGTTGGCAGCCTTTGCTTTATTTTGCAGATAATAAAAGAAAATTACATTTGAAAATTAAGGGAAATGTTCATAGTTTAAAATTTAATGGTACAATTGCCCTGTAACTTTATTGCTTATGTTGTGAAAGCCTCTATTAATTCTTTGTATTTGGAGGGTTTAAATGTAGTAAAAAAAGTGTATTTTTACAGAATGAAATAGATTCAAGGGCTGTGTGGTCAGTGAGGTATTTAAGAACAGGTAGGCACAAAACCATAAGCAAAAGCCTGACTCTGCCTTATATTTTGCATGTATATATGCCCTGTTAGTCTATGAAAATTGTTAAGTTCATTATGGAAAACAGCAATGTATAGAAAAAGAGGGAATTATTCCCAGCTGTAGGCATAGATCTTTAATAGCTAGATGTCAGCCATGTTCCCAGCATCAGTCTGGAATGGCTGGCTGGGCAGTGTGGTTTTGAATATAAGTCAATGTCGGTAATAATGAAAACCAGCAAGGAAACAGATCAAGATCAGAATATTAAATTTAAATACCATCTAGAACTTAAAACACAAGAGTGAAGTAGTGTAATGAAACAGATTTCTTGTAGTTAAGAAATGGGTGATTTTATACGTTTCGGTGAAATGCTCTTATCTGTGACATTGTAGAACATAAAGCACAAGCAAAATCAAGTAAAAATACTGTGAAGCAAAATCAGTAGTTTATTGTAGTTTGAAGACATACAATTACAAAACTTACAACACTAAGCATTTGTTTTGCTTCAGAAATATCTCCCTTTGAGACAATTAAAAAGGACTTGAAATACTTTCTTTTAAAGTGAATAACATCTACTTTGCCATAACACAATTTCAAAATGTTCAAAATTCCATTAGGAGAATGGAAGAAATACAAATGGCGTAACATTCTGAACAAGGGAGCATACGGCCTAAGTCGGAGCACGCTTACCCTTGTGCTCCCTAAGGTATCTCTATTCTAATGGGATAGTATGCCGAGTCTTTAAAATTCCAGTCTAAAGTGTTGTAAATACTAGTTTAAGAAGCAATAATGTTCCATACGAAGTGTTCCGTGAGGTTTTTTGTCTTCGTTTACTGTAAAACAAGTATTAATCTAGTTTTATCACTCTACTTTTTTAAGCTCTTCTAAGAATTTCTTAAGATAAAAACTCATAAGTTTTTCCTGCAAAGTGGAAAATATTAAACAAATGCCCTAGGTTCTTAACAATATGTGAAGTTTAACGTTTTACTTGACAGCTGTCACTTGGTGGCATCAACAGCAGTTTGTCTGTTGCATCCATTTCTTCTCATTCGCACTCTTTCTTTTCCACTTGAGTGAGGCCACCAAACCCAATTCCTTTGGGACCAAAATTTTTTGCATAGCAAACTGCAAAAGAAAGAGGGAGGTAAATGGTATTCTGAATGTTTCCATATAGAGGTAAATGACTTTTGGTTTTAGTACTATTTTCAAACAAGTTAATGAAAGGAAAGAAATCTGAAATAGTGTCTTTCCCAGAAATGTTGACAGGTTCTTATAGTGAAGCTGGATTACATCTTTGAATCAAACAAAAGTCACACCTGATCTCAAAAAAAAAAAAAGTTGATGTATTTAGGATCTAAGTAACACTTTTATTAAAACTACTTTCCTGTCTGAAAATTTTAGACTGGCTCGATAATCCAGTTCAGCTCATTACAATTCTTACCTTTACAGTAGAGCTCTCCGTCTTTGTCTGTAACATTTGTAGATTCTAAACTCTTTCCACAAATAGCACAGCGGAAGCAGGTCTTATGCCAAGGCTGAGGAAATTAAGACAATTTATTGTATATCACAGAAAGTGCACAGCTAGCAGATGGAAGAAACAAAGAACTGTTGCTTTTTATGGTGTGAAAAGGTTAAAATTGTCTTGTTGGTACAGCTTCTAGTTTTAGTCATTCAAGATCAGTTCGGGTTTTTTTAGTTTACTTTATTATTCCATATCAAGGTTGTACCTAGAGACTGTTACTAATGGAGGTCTAGTAAAAAGCAGAGAGCTGTAGATGTTGTTCTTGTTTTGGCCATTTCTTTCCTGTGCAGATACTGTTCTAGTGAGAGCTCCTAGAGCAGAGACCTAGCATGTCATGTGAGACAGGCTTTTGTTTTTCTCGTCACAGGATCTCTTTAAAATCTCTGCAGTTGGCACTGCAAATAAATGTTTAAATGATGAATGTCTCCAGAGCTGTAGGTGGAATGACAGTGGTAGAAGAGCCACCCCGTACAGTAGCCAGGACTTATTCTTTAGACATCAACAAGATGCAAAATGTTGAAGGCAGCTTATGAAAAGCTCATGGTTTTAACCCTGAAAGTAGGTTGTTCTCTAGCAATTTGCTAATTCATCCTCATGTTTCTTCATCGAGACAATGAGATTAAATTTAAAGGATCAAGGACCTATTAGCTGTAGTTTCTCACCATTTTAAGAGTGTTTTCTTTCTAGTGCTGCAGTAACTACTTACTTTTCCTCCTCCCATGATCTTCTCTGCAGCATACACTGATTTGCCACAGCGGGGACATTTATCCACATCTACCATCTTTTTGGCAAACTTGGAAGAAGGATTAGTTGGTGTAGAAGGGCGAGCAGGCTTTGGTGACCCCCTGAAACAGAAATTTTCAGTGTTTTAATATATTGCCTTCATTCTAGAAATATGATTTCATGTTTTCTTTCGTAAGGGATAAGAAATACTGTGTCACCGATCTCATGCAAAAGGGAGAATAAAGAGAAAATTTAGTTATGCTGTTGAATTTTTCATTGCGTGGTTGAAAAGCTGGTACTGTAAGTGCTGATGTCACCTGGTTTTGGCTGAGTACAGGGAGCTGACAGTAGCCATATGCAGAAGAATTTATATTTAAGGAAAAGTTAAAGTATAAAAGAATTTTGTTTTATTGAGAGGCAAGAGGGAAAATATAAGCGAAGGATCTCTATTATTTGTAACTGGCTATCTGCTGCTACTCAGTAGTGAGCGGAAAAAACCCTTAGATTTTGCATGCGGTTTTTTCATTTGTCACTGTAGCATTTGGACAGGGAACTGGGGTTATTGGCTGGCTTAGGGTCAAAAGCACATCAGAAAAGTACCTTTGCTTTGTATTTCAGGACTTTGTGCTTTATGTCTTTGTGCTTAGAGCCTTTCACAGAATGACTTTTGAATTATCGGATTGTCGGACTGCAACAGGTCATTAAATCTACAGGACATGATGGTTTCTGCTACAGAGCTTGGCCCATAATGGATTTGTATCTTACAAGGAGCTACAGTTAAATACATTTATTTAAGCTTTTATTTCCTGCACAGCATATTGGTTAATAGGTTTCCGTATCGTAAGACCAGAAGAAAGCATTGTTGATTTGGAAATGTGCAGCTTTGAGAATCAGAGAAAAATACTGTAAAAATCTGCTGTCAGGGATAATTATGTGCAGCTGAAGCTTTTGGAAGATGGTATCCCATTAGAATTCCTTTGTTCAAACATATTCTCGGTGTGTTTATAAGTGTTACTTGAGCCACAGGGAGGATCTAGAAATGTTATTTCCCCTACTGAGAGGAGAGTTAACAGTATGTGGTAGTGCAATTATTTCTCTTAACGGTAAAACCTAACTGTATTGTAGTCTCTGATGGAAGAAAAATACTCCCGTGTTCTATGGTGAATGTGACTTTGCTACTAATGGCAGATTACAATTGCAGTGAATATTTACGTCTGGTGGCATATAAAGTCTGCTTCTGCAGAATAATTGCACATTGAAGGAGGAAATAATTTATGAAGAAGGCTTAAAGAGATTGAACATCATTAAAAACTGGTAAATTACTGTGTCCACTGAAGGAAAGGTTGTAGGAAAGTCTGCTCTGCCTCTTATGCTGGATGCTGTTATGGAAACAGAAAGATATGTACAATTCCCTGCTAGGTGACAAGTAGTACCAGAAGAACCAAAGGTGCTGTCAGTGGGGTTTAACTCACTGCTGCAGGTTCAAGCCCAGATGGTCACCAGTGTCAGTGCTGAGACACCCTGCCCCTTGTCCGAAGCCAATGCCTTTGGGGCCGTATTTTCTCCCATAACAAGTTTTGCAGTAGATTTCCGATTCGTGAGCTGCTACTGTGGTACTGTCCAGAGCTTTTCTGCAAGCCACTGAAAACAGGAAAAGAGGCACGTATAAATATTTGCATTTTCAAAGTTTAATTTATATGGTTCAAAATAATTAAGAATACAGAAAAGGAGAGTGTTAGCCCATAGTCACTATAAAACTTCACTGGGTTGTTGCTAAAATACTTGTACATGCATGCAATATGCTTTTCTTTTGCCACTCCAGAGTTACACTCTCACCCTAGGAAAATTATGGGCTTGTAGAGACAATTTGTCTAGTTTTGTGAAGCTTAAGGTGGATTGGAGATGATGATGCAAAACTCCAGAAACTTACAAACAACACTCCCCCCAAAAAAACAAACAAAATATCCCAACCAAAATCCAATGTTGCAGGGGTGTTGACTGTACTGTGCATCTGCACCTTTCAGAATAGTCAGTCTGACTCTGCAGTGGCTTTCTCATGTAAGCCCATGCTATTTTAATGTGACATGTTTCAAAAAAGGATGTAACAGTCATATCGTGTCCAGAGAGAGTGAAGCAGGATGTTTTTTACTTTTCATGTTTGTTGAGCTGTAGTGCAAAGCAAAACAACGATCCCAAATACCTGATATCTCAGCTCTGTTAGACTTCCTCCAGAGTGGCAAGAATATGACTACAGCCATTCCAAAACCAGAGGCCTGTTCCCAGTCGTGTTCTTTTCAGAGCAGTACTGCTTGGCTTGGCTCAGCTCACTAGGAGACGCCTGGGAGACTTTTGTTCAGAAGGTACCGAAGGAGTGCCTGACACTCATAATTGCATACAAGTTACATCCTCTGCAGCACTACTTTAAACTGAGCTTCAACTTGGAAGGACCAAAAGCTAATGAGTGCTAACAGCTGCTTGTCTGAGGATCCCAGTAAGCAAGTATCGTGTTTTGAGAAACATGAGGCACACCTGGAGCTGGCAGGTGTTGCTGCAGTCAGTCTCACGCTTGGTTATTCTTGTTGAGTGGCCGTGGAAGCCTGATTACCCTTTCCTCAGGTCTTTGCTTATCTGAAACATGGTCAGAGTTTAGAGACTGAATTCTGTTACAGGTCCAGCGGATCTCCTTGCTGCTTATGCATGGAAATGAGGGAATTGAGTGTACTATCAGCAA